ACACATTCATAATTAGTGTAGAAATATTATTCCACACGGTAATTCCACACTGTTTAGTGCATCGAATAAATTGTCGTATAACCTTTAGTATGAATGAAAAAACACAATATTATATTTTAAGGACATATCTATTTAACTAAATATTTCGTCGAATACTACAAAATTCAGTTAATTTAGAAAAAAACTTAAAATAATTTATAATTTATGTTATGTTGGTTGCCCATATAAAGGGGATAATACAACAAAAATTTAAATCGAGTTACCCGATTTAAAATATTGACATTTCACATCTTGACATTTAATTTATTTTATTTCCATACTTTTGAAAACTATAAATAATAAAATAAATGATAGTAATAGTAGTGATAATAATTATAATACTCCACCACATATTAAAGAAATAGCGAATAATATTACAGAAGACTAATCAAACATCGGCGAAAAAATACAACTTAGCTTATTCAAGATTTATGGATTGGCGACTACAAAATAAGGTGAACTCCTTTTCAGAAACTATTTTAATGGCTTATTTTGGGGAGCAATCGAAATCTTTTAAATCTTCTACATTATGGTCAATTTACTCGATGTTGAGAACTACATTGTCAATAAGGCAAAATGTAGATATTTCACGCTATCAAAAATTGCGCTCGTTTCTGAAAAGAAAGTCTGAAGGATATGTAGCAAAAAAGTCAAATACTTACACCTGCAAAAATCAACCAATTTTTAAATGAAGCTTCCGATGATGTTTATCTACTTATAAAAAGGTAAATGCTTAATAATATGAGAGAATAATATTTTTTCATGTTAAATTTTATTTTATAGACGGCTCTGATTTTGGGAATAATGGGAGCATGTAGAAGAGAAGAATTAAAAAATTTAAAAATGTGTGACGTACAAGACATGGGTTCTGCAGTTTTAGTCAATATAACAAAGACAAAAACTAAAGTTCCTAGAAAGTTTACGGTTACTGGAGATTTTTATGCAATATTTAAAAAATATACCTAACAATCTTCGTCCTTCAAATATACCTCACGATTATTTTTTTACGAATTATCAAAAGGGCAAGCGCACAGTGCAACTAGTAGGAATCAATAAATTTGGAAATATGGCACAACAAATTGCTGAATATTTGAAGTTACTAGATCACAAAAATTATACAAGCCACTGTTTTCGCCGTTCGTCCGCAACATGTCTAGTTAATTCTGGAGCAGATATAACAAAGCTTAAAAGACACGGCGGATGGAAGTCAACTACAACCGCGGAAGGATTCATCGATGACAGTTTATCACATAAAATGGATATCGCAAATTCAATTCTACATTCTGTAGAAAATAGGAGTGAAGAACCTGAAGCTTCTACTAGCAGAATATCTATTTCAGAAACAACATATGAAAAAACCATCCAAGGTCATGATTTACCACCTCTTAATATTTCAAACTGTAATCTTGTTAATATTAATTTTTATAATAAATAAATTTGTAATTGAAATTTAAGAAAATTCAAATACGTTTATATAGTTTAGTGAATTATTAAACAAAATTAATAGTGATAATAATTTGTTTTATTTTATTTGGGGCACAAACAGGAGAAACCGGGACGATGTCCACGAAAAATATGAAAAAGAAACTATGTTAAGTACACATTTAAAAAGTGATAAGAATAACAAATATTTACCACCTCTTTATATTTCTAATTTTAAATCGTTAATAAAGATCATCCAATTAATAAAAATATATTAATTTGTGTTTTAAGTCATTGTGGTCGTAGAAAAAGTATAGTGTGCCACTCGTGCAGAAAACCAATTCTACACTCGTGTGATTGTGGCACTCGCATTCGCTCGTGCCACAAGTTTCACACATCGTGTGGAATTGGTTACTTTCTGCACTTGTTGCACAATATACTATTTTACTGTGATTACGGGGTAAACAACTGTCACCAATATAAATAAATGTCAGATAAAGCCGGATATTATATTCGCGAATAATAAATATCAATAAGTAGCTTGTTATATTTTAGATCATTGTTTTTTATTGTTTGCCATTAAATAGGTATTATAAAATTTGTCAAACACTGTTATTTTTTTTTTTAATATAAAAAATATTCATCTAGAATAGATGAAATGAGGGCGGGAAGTGAGGGCGGGAAGTAGAGGTGTGTAATGTGACACTTCCCAACCTTCAATGACGTTAGTAATGACAACATTACATATATGGTTGTAAATAAATATTTTTTTCTTACTACCACAGAAAAGTTACACATATCGTACTATTTAGTACGGCAAGTGATCTATATCACACGCGTGTGGATAAAAATCTACTTTTCATCCGTGTGTAAATATCTATTTTGCATATCAGCTGTGAAATATGTCAAACGCGTAATTTATATTTTGATCTATACAATGTCCATAATAATAGAATCGGTTATTGTATAACGGGAACAAGTCCATGATAACTACTTTTGAGAAAAATGAAAAAAACCAACTAGCTTCGAAATTTGAATACCTATTAAGTTATGTTTTATGGATGAAATGTATTAATTGAGTAGCAGAATGATATGCGATAAAGCTATTTGGATTTTGAAAAGTATTAAGATCATAAGGGCCATTTTTAACCCTTGGACTTGTTTCCTTCATATAATAAATGAAAAAAACATAGAACAATATTACTGATGCTTTACTGTTAATTATTTTATTTATAAAAAAGGGATTAAATGATATAAAAAACCAAATCTGCATTCTAAAACTTTAAACAATTATTAGTCAGACTCATATTCTCTGTCGGTTGTTGGCCATTCCTTGAACTGTTCAAAAAATTCTTGATCTTCCTCAGGAATGTAGGTTAAAACCTTCATGAGATCCTCCAGCTTTTTAGCCTTGATTGGTACTTTTCCGTTATAAGCCCTTTCATTTGGAAAAGGAGGAGCTGTAACATTATTTTTTGATAAACGAAACTTGGATGTCGTAATGCCGTCTATAAATTCCCGTGTTACTATGAAACCGGGATGTTCACTTTCATAAGTCAAGTGTTTATATTTGCTAAAACTTTCTTTTATTGTCTCTTTATCTGTAACGATTTCCTTCGTAGTCTTTTTAAAATAAGCTGGCCACCATGCTTTAAAGTTTAACACTTCATGTGTATCTATCACTTTTATAGTAAAGTTTGGCTTGGATGTTTTAGCTTTTGCTATTATTGACACATATTGCAATGGTGTATATATCCTATCATGGCGCCTAATAGCTCTTTTGATTATTCCGAAGTCTCTGTCGCATGGCAGAAATGAATGCCCTCGAATAGGAAAATATTGGTGAATCACTTTAAATCTTTTATTTAGGGTAAGATTCAGGAAAAATCGAACAAGGGTATGATTTTGATTCTGGCCTCCGTATGCATCACTAAACACGTATAATTCGGTGACAGTTTCTGGAATTTGCTTAATGTAGTCCTGTAGGAAAGAAGTTACTTCGTTCGCTCCGCGTTTAGCTGTGCCTTCATGGTACGTATAAAATGTTGCACCATTAGTTTTTATATCATGGATCCCAAAAACGTATTGCCATACTTTTCGTAGGTAAAACATGTCATTCACTGGCATAAAAGGTAATGGCAAATTCTGCATGTAATCGAAAACGATTGCTGCTACATTTTCGTTGTTATTGCACAAATCTTTTACAGATTTAATTTTATTGTAGAACTTAGCAGCCCTTCTTTTATGCACAACTAATTCCGCAGCTGCTACTCGTTTTGCAGTATCGTTTAATACCGACGATTTTAATTTCACCCCTAATTCCTCGCACTTCTGGCATACGTCTACCTGTGGTCTACCAAATCTGTATCCAAAATTTTCATTAGAATGTTTTAAATAGTACTCATACTTAACAATGTTCACCAAATCTGCATTTTCCCAGCAAAACATCTCGAACATCTTTTTTACGGTCAACGAAGGATCAAGATAGTTAAGCGGTTTGCTTCCATAATGGAAATTTTCTGATATGCTCATTTATTTTTAACCGACTTCAAAAAAGGAGGAGGTTATCAATTCGTCGCGATATTTTTTTTTTATGTATGTATGTTCAGCGATTATTCTTTAACACGGTGTCCGGTTTCAATGATTCTTTTTTTGTTAGAAAGGGGGTATTTCAGAGGTGGTCCCATATAAATTTAGTCAAAATCTAATAATTGGGTCCATTAGAAAATCCTCAAACTCTTCATTTTTTATGTATGTTCAGCGATAATTTTTTAACACGGTGTCCGATTTCAATATTTCTTTTTTTGTTAGAAAGGGGCTACTTTAGGGGTGGTCCCATATAAATTTGGTCAAAATGTAATAATTGGATTCATGAGAAAATCCTCAAAGTCTTCATTTTTTATGTATGTTTAGCGATAATGCTTTACCACCTTGACCGATTTATACGATTCTTTTTTTGTTAGTAAGGGGGTATCTCAAGGGTGGTCCCATATAAATTTGGTTAAAATGTGGTGATGGCATCTGCACGTTTTTGAAGTCGGTTTTTTTTAATTTTTAATTTGTAATACTTGTTAAAATAGCAGAATCAGGTAAAGCATTACCACGTTTAAGGTGTTGACCTCGCCTGTCAGTTGGCCTATCGCCATTTAACAGAAGTGAAGTTAAACGGAAAACTACCTTTACTGACAAGGCATATAGACTAAGAAATGCTTTTTTGCATACTTGGACACGCTCTTTTCCGTTTGATACGTGAAACACAAAATTGCTTCGGCGCTCTTGCTTAGGCTCTTGATTCCTTGACCTACGTCTCTTAATTTCTTTAGCATCAAGAAGACCCATTAAAAAAGTGTCTTGTTCATTCTTTGGCTTCCCAGAATACAGCGACTTAAAATTTGTCTTCTGCTCATCAGAGAACTTCTCTGTGCATTTAAATTTACACCTGCAAAAAATATCGTCTTTAAACTGACTAAAAACACCATAAATACATAAAAAGAAGGCGAGATCCTATGACTAGTCTAACACCCTGTACAAGTACATACCTGCAGTCTGGCCCAGTTTGTCGAGCTGGTTTTGCAACGCCTTTTTGACTAACATAGTTTTTTCCAAGTAATCGGGATTTAATTCGTACATTATTTTCATATTTTTCAGTTTCGCACACCCTTTTTCCGTTTCGGTTGTAACTCACTACTTGTATCAGAGATATCAGACATAATTCTAATAAATAATGTTGTTTATATTCACAAAAAATGATATTGCAATAATTGCCGAACCAGGCACATGCATGTATTTTCTTTAAATGAAGTAATAAAGTAATGTACTGTAAACAAAACGCAAGTAGCGACGCTAGCGCCATGAAAATTATTTTATAAAGGTAACAAGTCCTTGAATAGTTCCCTTTATAGACTCAACAATAAATTTCTGCCCATGATATTTCGAAACAGGCGAGCGGTATAAGTTTCTTTTATAGACCCACAGGTCCGTTGACTTCGATTTTACAAAATGTATATCTCAGTTTAATTTTGAAGAAATGTGGACTTGTTCCCTTTATACAATAACCGATTCAATAGTAAATTAGATTTGATGATTAAATAGTGAATACTGATTTTTTTATCTAGATTCTAGATACTTATATTTAACCAATTATTAAAATTATTTTTAGTTTCTTTTTTGGTAATATAAATATTTGATAAGACAATAATTCTTGTGACATAAGCAAATTAGCTCATTAGTACGTTTAACTTTATTAATATTTGCATGTTTCCACTACATCATGGTGCAGATTCAATTTCCACCGAGGGAAGCTACTTTTTTAATTTTTTTAATTTCTTTATTATTTTTTACTTTTTTTATTTTTTTCATTTATTTTTTATTATTTAAAAAATACGACTATTTTTATTTATTTATTTTAAATAGGTACATTTTATTTATCTTAATGTATCATCTACAGTTATTCTTTTAGCTATTTATTTTATAATATTTTGTTTAATGACCAGAAAAAAAATGTAATTAATTAGGTAGGTAATCATCTTTAATAATAAAAAAGTTCTTGTTCAAGGTTACCTCATTATTTTTTGTACTTAAAAAAATGAACCAATCAAAAACTTTATTGTATATTTTTTACACCTAATGGTATTTTTACCGATATTATGCTATTAAAGTTGTTCCTTAATGAAATAACGTTCTTAATTTTGACAAAACACAAAAGGCATAATATAAAAAACAAATCAAAAACCAGTCACGTTTTGATTAAACCTTAATAGTCAGACTTCCTGGTTTAACATTTTTTTTTTTTGATAAAAATATTTTGTGGTCGTAAAAAAAATTGTACAGGGTGTCTGATTAAGGACTCGTAGCGGCTGTATCTCAGAAACTATTGATCCTACAGCTTCGAAAAAAAAAAAAAAAAAAAATTATAACAAAAACGGTCAAGAGAAAATGCTGGAAATTATTTTGAACTTTCTATTTTAACCGTTAAAGGGCGTAATTCGCTATGGTAATTCAAAAAAATCACTTTTCCCCTATAAATGTCTAATAATAGTATGATAATAATAATCGAACGGTAATTTTGATTAAATTTTACAAATGTTTTATTCAACACTTTTTGCTCTATTCAATAAAATAACAGGTTGGGGCTATTGGGAACCTTAATTTAATAAATGTATTATAACTACGGTCTCGTTTATCAGATTTTAAAAAACTTTGTATCGATTAAAAGCAAATTGATTGTTTAGTAAAATATTTCAAAATAGTTCTGATTCAGTTGTTTAAAAGAGCACTAGGTGGCGTTGTATAAGCAGTAACCATTTTTTTGAAGTTTTCTTGAAAAATTTAAATGGAATGTTATAATTTTTAAACGTTATTTAGAAAGAGAATTAAATTCTGACAAGAAACAAAAAAACCGCGTCTTTTTATCTTTTTTCTAACTGAATATAAACAAAAGTCTATTAAGGGTGAATGGTCCACTTAAATATTAATAAATAAAGTTATTGATATATTAATCAAGTTGGCTTTGAAATATCAGTAAGCTTAAATGTCAAATTAATTATATTTTAATAAGTTAAAAGACATCATGCCTTACAGTAATTCCGAAGCTTATGACATGTTAAAAGTATATTTTGAATGTTTTGAGAACGCTTCGATTGCATCCAGAGAATATGCGTTGATGAGATATCCTCAGCGAGTTTTACAAACATTTAAAAATCTGGCGATTCGTTAAAAAGAAACTGGCTGTGTTCAACCTAAAAAAGCTATTCAACGACGTAGAAGAAGCAGAACGGAAATTAACGAAATAAATATATTAGCATACGTTGCTGCAAATCCACATATAAGTATACGGAAAATTGCTTCCGACTTAGGACTTACTAGGTACTGCGTTTGTTCTATTTTAAAACCAAATCGTCTCCATCCATACCATGTAGCCCTTCTTTAAGGTCTGAAATTAACAGATTATGATAAAAGACTGGATTATTGTAATTGGCTTAAGAATATGCTTAATGAGGATCCACAATTTTTATCACATATAATGTGGTCCGACGAATCTACATTTTCCACTAATGGATCTGTAAACAGGCATAATATGCATTACTGGTCTGACCACAATCCTCATTGGATGCGAGAAGTTTTTAATCAAGGTCGGTGGTCAGTAAATGTGTGGTGTGGAATTTTAGACGGTCAAATTATAGGTCCTATTATTAATAATAATAATAAATAAATGGTGAGCGATATTTAAGATTACTGAGAGACGAATTGCCCATTTTATTAGAAAATATTTCACTGGAGGTACGCCGTAATATGTGGATACAGCAGGATGGTTGCCCAGCACATTATACAAATAATGTAAAAGACTTTTTAAATCAACATTTTCGGAATAGGTGGATTGGAAGAGGTAGTCTATTTCCATTTCCACCAAGATCTCCCGACCTCACCGTATTAGATTTTTATTTGTGGGGTCGACTTAAAGATTTAGTTTACCAAACTCAGCCTGTAAGTAGAGAAGATCTAATTCAACGAATACAAACTGAAATTGATCATATTCCTAGGGCTGAAATAGAAGCTGCTGTCAATTCAACTAGACAGAGACTTGATATTTGCATTAAAAAAGATGGAAAACAATTCGAGCACTACCTCTAATTCTTGTATTGCATTCTCTATTTTGTTCTATGTTTAGTTACTTGTTTTGTTATATTTTATTAATATATTCAATTTTTATTTCGCAATTAGTTTTATTGAACCAGTAAACTTACACTAAAGAGTTAATTTAAATCCTATTTTAATAATTTTTTTTTAACCGCTTTACAGTTAAGCTATCGAAAAATTACTGACGTTTCAAAGCCGACTAGATTAAAATATCAATAATTTTATTTATTAATATTTAAGTGGACTATTCACCATTAATAGACTTTTGCTTATATTCGGTTAGTAAAAAGATAATAAGACGAGGTTTTTTTTGTTTGTTGTCAGAATTTAATTCTCTTTCTAAATAACGTATAAAAATTATAACATTCCATTTAAACTTTTCAAGAAAACTTCAAAAAAATGGTAACTGCTTAAACAACGCCACCTAGTGCTCTTTTAAACAACTGAATTAGAACTATTTTGAAATATTTTACTAAACAATCCATTTTCTTTTAATCGATATAAAGTTTTTCTAAATCTGATAAACGACATCGTAGTTATAATACATTTATTAAATTAAGGTTCCCAATCGCCCCTACCTGTTATTTTATTGAATAAAGCAAAAAGTGTTGAATAAAACTTTTGTAAAATTTAATCAAAATTACCGTTCGATTATTATTATCATACTATTATTAGACATTTATAGGGGAAAAGTGATTTTTTTGAATTACCATAGCGAATTACGCCCTCTAACGGTTAAAATAGAAAGTTCAAAATAGTTTCCAGCATTTTCTCTTGACCGTTTTTGTTATAAATTTTTTTTTTTTTTTTGAGGCCGTAGGATCAATAGTTTCTGAGATACAGCCGCTACGAGTCCTTAATCAGACACCCTGTACATCACTTGTGTAAAATAGATTTTTCATGCTATAGATATAAGCATCGTTTAGCCATTTGACCCAATAATTATAATAATTATTGAACTAAAATAAGAAAGGAGTATTTGTCGACATTTTGCGCTAGCGCCACGGCCATTTGACCCCTTAGTCCTTATTAGTCATTTTGGTTTATGTGAACCAATTATAAGCTAGCGTTTGTGCGTGAAAAATTTTAATAGCGTTTAATTATATACAGCGTGTCCCATTACATTTTCCCATTATTAAATAAAATATTTATTATATACTTACCTACTATAACGGAAAAATACAAAAATATAGTATCGTACTTCGGTAGGTACATATTTTACTTCTGTAGAATTTCTTGATTTTTAGAAGGAGCTAAGGAGATTTTTCGTCCATCCTTTTTTAAAATATTGTCAATAAAAGAAAGAGTGAAAGTTATCCTTTACACATGACAGTATTAATATTATATTTTAGAAATGGGTACCTATAAGTTCAAAGTGAAATTCGAATTTCACTTTACCTTGACAAGATATCTAAAATTAACCAAACCATTGCTATAAACAAGTAAAAGTAAAATGCGAATGATAAGAAAAAATTGGCGACATAATATCATTTCTACATATTTATGAACCTTATCAATTGAAGGTTCAGGAGCGTAGATAATAATAATAATAATATATATGTTAACACGATTTTGTGTTATGTGACACAGCGATGTGTAAGGCAATGAAAAAGCCGACGCAAAGATCACTGAGAAAGGAATTATCTCAAAATGGACAGAGCGTGCACTCACTAACTGGAAATATACTCCATGGCTAACTCATTCGAAGGCGTTTATACCTAACCCTTCCTTGAATGCCTCCGCTCGAATCCGGGAATGAAGTGGGGGTCTGATGAGATCATATTATCGTTTAGGTAAATATAGGAATACGTCTGCAACCGACTTTCGATTATGCAGCATTGAAGGTGACTCTGCAGATCAAATGTACCTGCTCCGCTTTGGAAAGATCTTCCAGATCCTCTTCGTAATAATAGAGTTCTTCGTTAAGGAACAACAAAGAAGAATACTTTACATTTACAAATGATCGCCCGTATATTTTCTTCTACATCAAAGAC